AAAGCGCAACAGACAGAGTGCACGTGAGAACTTTCCCTACTGAATTAAATACCTCAAACAAACAGTTTCAAAGTTCAGATGGGGGTGGAAGTTTGGGGTTTTTTCATTTTTTTTTGTGCAAGAGGAAACTGATGAAAATTTTCAGCCAGCTCTGACCTTCTTGGTGTTACCCCTGCATGCTAGGCACCAGAGGACGGGACTTACAGACATGATTTGTGTTTTTGCACATCCAGTTCGAGGGAGAATCATAGAATCACAGAATGGTTTGGGTTGGAAGGGATCTTAAAGCCCACCCAGTGCCACCCCCTGCCCTGGGCAGGGACACCTCCCACCACACCAGGTTGCTCCAATCCCTGGAGGGGTTCAAGGGCAGGTTGGAGGGGGCTTGGAGCAGCCTGGTGTGGTGGGAGGTGTCCCTGCCCAGGGCGGGGGGTGGCACTGGGTGGGCTTTAAGGTCCCTTCCAACCCAAACCATTCTATGATTCTACCATTGTATGATTCCATGATTTTTCTTGTTGTACGTAAGGCTGATGGGGCACTTGCGAGATTGTTATTAACCAAGAAATTTAAACAACTTAAACTCCTTTTTTACACCTAGACCTGGATAACCCGAACAGGAGCATTGTTACAGAGGTGATGGAGATACGGAGCAGGCTTTTGAAATACCAAACGGCTGCTGAGATGGGACAGGTGCTGCTTTTAAGCTATTTTGAAAATACGAAATCAGATAATTATGGGCTGGCTGGTTTGATATCAGAATAACAGGAGAATGATGTATAAGTAGCCAAGCTTGGGAGGTGCTAAGCAGCAGAGATAAGGGGGAATGGGTGGGCAACTGTGCTCAGGAAAGCAGCAACTCTGGGAAGAAGTTAGGGGTGAGCAAAGCAGACCTGAACTGCAGGAGCGACTCTTTAAAGAGGGTTTTTGCTTATGTTTGGGCTCACAGGCTGGAGAGGAGTGGGTATGGACAGGGAGTGCGGGCCCTGAACGTGGGCACAGTAACACACCGGTACTTTGCACCCAGGCTTGGTGTCCATGGCGGATGTGGAAAACATAGAAATAGTTGAAAAGGACCATCAGGAATAGGAGAAAGAGAAATGCATGGTAATTATTTGTTCTTCTGCCTCTCATGGAGACTGAAAGGGGAGGGGTTTGCACAGTTTGCAGCGTGCAGTGCAGAGGATCACTCTGCAATCTGGCAGGGGAAGGCAAATGAGCTGCCTGCAAACATTTGAGACATGAGGCCAGGCAATTTCCCACTACCAAAAGAGTTTACCTTTATTCACAAAGGTGATTTTGCAGCCCCCGAAGTCCTCAGAACAGAAATGGACCCTTTTGGGAAGACAAACCCTGGGTAAATTCAACAGCTGGTCTCAATATGGTCTGGGAAAGGGAACGTACGGGAGGTCCTGCAAGGTGATCTGCTGCTCGTCAGGGTTTTAAACTCTGTAAATAACCTTTTCCTCTGCCTTTGCAAGGCACTGGGAGGAAATTCCCACCTCCCCTCTCCAGGGGAAATGTCAGGTTAAACAGCGTATCGATGAGAGAGCCAGGGTTACTGCATGCACGTGTTCCTTTAGATCCTCCTCCGCATCCATCCCTGTGCCCTGTTATTCACCTTTCCATTAAGTAGCAGATTTAGGGTAAGAAGGTCACGGACCATGGGGTGTTAGCCTTTTCTTCTAGCAGAATAGAGCCCTTATTTGTATCATCTGTGCCAGATTCAGGATCAATTTCTGGCAGAAAACATAGTCGATGATATAATGGGAACACTGCAACCAGTGTGAACCAGCCTCGGCGGAAGTTTGGTCCCGGATTGCTGAGAGGCACTAACCAGGAAGGGAGAGGGAGGGGAGCAGTACAGGCAGCAGGAGGATTTCTTCACCTCCATCCCCTCCTTCTGAAGGTCCTGCTCTGGTGTGTCTGACACCACGTGCATCAGGGTATCGGTGCCCTTCTGTCATGGTTAGCTTCCAGCCGTGTAGCACCCTGGCAGTCTCCAGGAGCTGGCCCAAACCAGGCTGCAAATGTGCCTGAGCTTTTTTGGCAACACTTCATAATAAAAGGCAAACCATTTCTGCGGCTCGTTTCCATTGTAATACTAATCAAACTGCATTCCTGTGATGCTCATATGGATGTCATACGCAAATCCTTCTGAAGCCGGCTGCTCCTAACTCCAAATGGAAGTCAACGGGGAAATTTCTCTCCTGTGTCCATCTTGCAGCTCTTAGCTCTTGTGCATTTATTCCATTCACGAAATTCTGATTATTGTCGAAATGAGGAAATACCAGAGTTGATGAAACCCATGAGGAGCATTGATAATACTTCTGAATTTATCAGGAAGGTGCTCAGCTGCTGTGTTGACAGGCAGCACCACGAAGCCCTGATATGGAAGTAAACAGACCTCGGTGTCCTACCATAACTGAATACTCCAGATATTAAAACAAAAGCCCTCGCCAGTATTTCCAACTGTCCTTCCCATCAATGGGAATATTTTAGGAACAATAGGTTTTCCAGGCCAGTGCTTGTCTTCAGCAGCAGCCAGTATCACCGTTCAGAAAAAGACATGAGAAACCTCCAAACAGCAGTTCTGGAACAGCTGTCTCCCAGAGATTTCTCCCCAGACCCTAGAAATCTCACCCTATTTGATGAAGTATATGGCTTTATTTATATTTTTTTTTGTGGGGAGAAACAAGCAAGTAGAGGTAGTTATTTCGCTCTGAGCATACTGATCCCTTTTCTTTTCTGAGAAGGGGGTGGAAGAGCTGTGGACTACCTGTCAGACCTCAGAAGTTAGCTATTGGAAGATCATTTGGCCTTGGGCAGGATCTTAAGCCTTGCACAGATTGGATCAAGTCAGCATCTGAACCAGGACAGTGTGAGCACCGACATTGCGTTGTCTCTTGCCTTCAGCAGACGGAGGCCAGCCAGCCCCTTCTGTTCCTTGGGAGTCCTCCTGCAGCCTTCAGCCCAACATAGGAGAAGTCATTAACTTCCCTGAAGGAAATGGGAAGAGCAGAGGAATGGGCTGAGGTGGCTGCAGACTTTCCTGCAAGGTTGCCCCACGGGCAGTGATGGGAAAGCCCCCGCCTCGTTGCACCACCAGAGCCCTTGCTCACCCTGTGCCTCTCTGCTCAGTGCCAGTGTGGGTTCCTGGCCAGGACCGGGAGGTACCGCAGGTTTGGCAGTGGGCAGAAAATGGATGAATCATGGCTCTACCCTCCCTCCATCCCATATAACCAAGGTACGAGCAGGTAACAAGGGTCTGTCTCAAGTACAACCTTCCCATACTCAACCAAGCCCTGTCTGCACCAGGATGCTTCCTTCTCATCTTTTGCTTCAGTTTTGACCTAACCAGCACCAGTTTCCTTGTAATCCATCAGAACAAGAAATCACTCAGGGAGAGACTCAGATGTTGGCCATGTCACTACACACACTTTGGAAAGTGTTCAGGTGCTTTCTCCCCGGGAAGGCTTGTCACATCTGTCTGTGAGTTGCTCCAAAGTGATGTCTCCATTGTCTCCATGAAATATTTGGGTCATAAGACGTCACTGTTTCCCAGCAGGTATCCTTTGGATCCACTGACTATTCACATGAGCAGCTTTGAAGATGAGAACTGGATCTTCAGAACTCAATACATTATCTTCTTTTTTTTTTCTTTATTTTTTTTTTCCAGGCAATCCAGCAAGCAGAGGCAGGACATGATCCCATGCTCTCTACCCAGCTGCAGTGTGACCTGGTTACTATTTAAGATGAAGAGCTTTCTTCTGTAGTTGCAATACCTTGCAGTGGAAGCAGGGTCTCCAGCACAGCAAACCCAGCAGACAGAGTATTTGAATAGAGCAAAGGGGAGATGGCAGCCTCAGCTGGGAACCTGGCTCCAGAACACCGGCCAGGGGTGGGAGGTGGCTACCCTGGACAGCGGGTGGGGGGCTTGGGGTGAACAGACGGTGGGCTCTGCTATGGGTTGGTGTGTAGATGCATTGGTGGAGGCGGCTGTGGGGGTGTCGGTGCAAGAGGCTCAAAGGGATGTGGGGGAGGACAACACTGATGGGGGTCCTGGGGGCAAAGGTGACCCTTGCAGTAGCTATGTGTCACACAGGGGGTTCTCTAGCTAAGGGTCACCAGGGGATGTTTTTGGGTTACTGTGTGTGGGCTCTTGTGGCTCAACATGACAGAGGTACACAGGCAGGTCCATCTCTGGTCAGCAGAGTTCTCCAGGGTTCATGGATGCTCCATGGGGTTGGCTTGCACGGTCTCTCTCTGGATGCAAGGGTCTGCCCCGTGGCCGGGAGGTCCCGAATGGGCATGGGGGGGGACGTTCCCAGGCTGAAGATCATGGTGAGGGTCTACCCTATGCCCAGAGGGTTCCAGCTGGGCAGAGGGGGAGGTGTCCATCACCAGGCTGAGGCTCACAATGAGGTTCTGCCCCGTCCACAGAGGCTTCTGGGATGGCACAGGGGAGCCTGCCCCCACAGTGGAAATCAAGGTGGGGGTCTGCCCCGTGACCACGGGGTCCAGAGTGGGCATGGGGGGTCCGTTCCCAGGCTGGAGATCAGAGTGAAGATCCATCCCACGTCCAGAGGGTCCAAGGTGGACACAGGGGGTTCCTCCCCTAGCTCAAGATCACGGTGAGGATCCGTGCCACGTCCAGAGGGTCCCAGGTGGACACAGGGGGTTCAGCCCCAGGCTGGAGATCTTGTTGGGAGTGTTCCACCTGCCCAGAGGGTCCCGGGTGGGCACAGCGGGTTCCTCCCCAGGCTTGAGATCATGGTGAGGATCTGCCTCAAGTCCAGAAGGTTCCAGGTGGGCACAGGGGAGCATCCCCAGGCTGGGGCTCAGGGCTGAGGGTCAGCCCCCTGCCCTGAGCGTGGGGTGAGGACAGAACTGGGGGAGGGGGAGGGTCCCGACTGGACACGGCGTGCGGGGGGGCAGTTCGGGAAGACCGGGCCGAGACGGGGCCTCCGCGGGTACCAGCTCGGCCCCCGGTGGTGGGGGGGCGGCAGGGGGCGGCGCGGGGCCGGGCCGGGCCGGGTCCGTCCGCGCTCCCTCCCCCGCTCCCCGCCTTCCCTGCGCATCGGAAACATGGCGGCGGCGAGGGACTGAGCAGCCCCAGCTCTCGGCGGCCGCAAAGGTGAGATGAGGGGAGGGGAGAGGGGGGGGCGAACAGCACGGCTGGCCCGGCCCGGCGAGGCGCTGCCGGAGGCCGGGCTGGGGTGAGGGGGGGGATCGGCGGCATTAGGCCCCGCGGTGGGCCCGGCCCCGGCGCGGATCCCGCCTGTCAGCGCGGCCCGGCCGCCGCCTCAGCCGTGGGGCCGGGCCGCGGTGGCTCCTGTCACCTGTTGGTGGCCGACAGGGCCCGGCCACCCACCCCCTCGGGGCCGCCCCGGGCCCGCCGCGACTCCCGGCGGCAGCGGGGCAGAGGCCCGGGGGGGCTGCGCCGGCCTCACCGCACCGGCCCCTGGGCCTTGTCCCCGGCCGGGCTATAGCCGCCGGTGAAGCACCTTCCAGGGGCTTTGTTGTTCTTCCTGCAGGAAAAGAACATCTTTACCTACGGGAGAGCTGGGAGGGACTCTGGATCAGGGAGGGGAGCCATAGGAGGAGGGGGAAGGGTTTTGAACTGGAAGAGGGGAGATGAAGCTGAGATCTCAGGAAGAAATTCCTTGCTGCGAGGGTGGTGAGAGCCTGGCCCAGGTTGCCCAGAGAAGCTGTGGCTGCCCCATCCCTGGAGGGGTTCAAGACCAGGTCAGAGGGGGCTTGGGGCAACCTGGGCTGGTGGGAGGTGTCCAAGCAGGGGGCTTGGACTAGATGGTTTTTAAGGTCCCTTCCAACCCAAACCATTCCATGATTCCGGGTGTCCCTGAGCAGGACTCGGTCCCCCCAGCCTTGTCAGCGTGGGGGAGCAGGTCCTGCAGCACAGGGCCACGGTTGTCATGCCCAGCAAAGGCCTCAGCAGGGTGTTTGCCAAGCGCCCCAGCCTGCCCTCCGCCCCGCTGGAGGTTTGTTATCTGCCGGACGCTCCTTGCACGGACAGGGAAGCAAGGCCAAGCTGCCAGAGGATCTGCAGGAGGTGGCCCCTGCCTGCGGGTTGTGGCTGGGGAAGGTTTGTGCCCTTCCCACCCCAGGAGCCTTTTAGGATGTCAGTGAAACCCTCCTGGAACCTCACTGCACTGGGGAGAACGACAGTGTGCTCTGAGCAGGACCCGCCACCAGGTCCCTGCTGGGGACCCCTGCACTGGAGGTGTCAAGGGTGATGGCGGGGACCAGACGGAGAAGTCCCATCACCATCAATCCTGGGAAATGTCTGCGCCTCCTTCCCCCCTTCCACTCTCCTCCCCCCCACCCCCCGAGTTGAGCACTTGAGCTGGGAGACAAGAGTTGAGCTTTTCATGCACAGTAAGATGTTTAAAAATAAATACAATGTCAGGCTGGCTCCTGCTGCACGTCGTTCAGGTTTAATCCGCAGGCTCTTTGAAGTTCCTGTGTAAAACTGTGGCAGCAGCTTGGAGTCTTGGTGACTAAAGGTAGAGATAGAGAATGTAAACAGGCCTGAATTGGGGATGCACTGAGGAGCTTGGCTTCCTTTGGCCTCGGATGTTTTAGGGTCAGCAGCTGAATACTAAACTAATTATTTCCACGGGTAAAGTCAGGACGTGGAGACCCAGCTCTGGGGTTCCCAGCTTGGATTTTTGGCTCTGTTTCTGTTTACTGTTGTTGTTTATAGTAAACGCCGTGCACTGAGTGGCTGAGAACAGCCATGTGGTGGCTCCTCTTCGGCAGCCAGTAATATTGGGGAAAAATATTCTCCCACCTCGGTTGAATTGCCTGAGCAATGGCGTGTGGTGGGCTGTGCCAGGGATGCTGGCAGAGGGACGGCCGCTCTTCTCCTCCTCCTCCTCCTGCTTCTCCTTCTCCGCCTTCCCCTGCTCTCACCCTCGCTCCTCTGCTGACCAGGCTGGGGTCTCACCATGCCCTTGCTGGAAATATCTGGAGAATGGGCTGGTGGTTTCATACCTCCCTTTCTGCTTCGTAGCAAGCACCAGTTTGTCTCTTGGGGCTTAATAGCGGGATTAAATTTGGCTTGTGGGGGCTCAGCTGGGACAGGCTGCCCTGGGCCTGTGCTCTGCCCTGGGGTAGTTCAGGATCTGCCCAGTAGATGGTATAAAAATGCAGACAGAAATCAGGGAGTCCTTCACAACGGGCAAGAGGGAAATACAGATATTTCTCTGTTATTTAAAATATTTCTTTTATTACAGGTTAAAGTGCATTTTATTTGAAAGAGATACACTGACCCGAAGTCCTCCTGTTTCAGGAGTTACATCTTAGGAAATGATAAATCTACATCTTGATAATCTGCTTGTTAGTCAAGTATTTGGTATTACATAAATCAGGTGGTTAGTTAATTGAAAGAAAGCAAATGCAGAGTTTAGAACAGGAGCACGAGTGGCAGCCCCTGCAAGTTGTGAGCCTGAGCACCAGGGTTTTCCTGTGTCTAAAATGTTAATAATGTTTAACTCTTGAGTCACTTCTCTGGAAACTTGATGAATTTTGCAGCACAGTTTGATGTCCTTAAATGAAAGATGCTGTTTATAAAATGATGGTGTTACTTACCAAGTAGCTGTGTTTCAGAATAGGATGTGAGTGGTCTGGGGGCTGTGTCCTTGCTGTATATCTAATTTAAAGGAATCTCTGAAACTGTGTTTTGTAGCCTCAGACACGGGGTGTCCAGAGAGGACTCCAGAGGTGTCCTCCTGGTTTCCCAACCACGGGGTAAGGTCAGGTTCGCAGTTAAACCCTTCCTGAGTAATGTTTCTTCTTTTAAGGCTCTTCCTGCTGGCAATTTCACATCCTGTGCAGACAGTGTACGACGATACTCGGCCTCATCACCACTGGAGAGATTTTCGTGGTGCTTAATCTAAATCTTTATCTTCCACTTTAAGCCTTTTCCTTCTTCTCTGATCTCCAGGGCAGGTGGAGCACACTACTCCCTGCATCTCTGCAGCTAAAGTTGAAGTAGTTGAAGACTTTTTTTTTCCTCTTCCTAAGCTGCACAAGCTCTGTCTCTCTGCTCTTTTGGCCTGGGCTTTTCTGCCCAGCTGATCTCTGCCCGCTCGGGACCCCGCTGCCCGTCACCCTTCCCTTACCAGCGGTGCTGGGGCTGGGCAGGACCGGCCTGGCTGAGCTTCTCCGGAGCTGCTGTAGTAAATGGGCCCAAATGGCCCCATTTCGGGTATGTGTAAGTACTGTTCTGTGGAAAAGAATGCAGAGCAGACGTTTGCATATTTGCATGTTGAACCGTGGGTTCGTGGCAAAGGAGTTGGGGGAGCTCCTCGTTGCAAACCCTGGAGCAGGGCTGGCGGGGGGGCTCCGAGCTGGTGTCCATCAAAGCTTGGCATGTTTGGGGCTCCTAAAGCCATAATGTTTGCATCCAGCCCCCTCTCTTTTTTCCTTTTTTTTTTCTTGGCTGCAACTGAAATTCAGTTTGTGATGAGACAAGTAGATTTTGAGTCATTTACTCATCCATTTGTGTTTGAAAAGTTTCCTAACAAGATGGCCAGGAGGGGTCCATGAGAAAAGAAGCAAGATGAGGACAGCAGCAGCTCCAGCTGCCAGCTTCTTTCGCAGGGTGGTTCATCTGCTGCATATATGTATATTTTCTGTAACTCAGAGACATGCCAAGGTAAAAATCATCCCCACAATTAAACTCTCAGTATAACAGAACTATAACTGACCCCCTTCTTCCCCCCAGCGCTCCCAGCCCTGTGACATGAGCAACCTTTTATCCTACTTTATTTGCAGGATGACAGGATCTAGTCCTAAAGGAAAATGCTTTTTTTTTCTTTTTTTTTTTTTTAATTCATTTGTAAACAACTGCTTTCTTACCAAGCTTAAACAGCGGAGACTTTTATAAAAGGCTTGCTCAATGTTTAAAGTGATAACACAAGTCTGAAAGCAGCAGGGACCATGTGAAATCTTCCGTCTGTGTCACTAGGTCTCACTGGGCTTGGAGCAAACAAGACTTGTCCGTGTCTAGTGGCCTGAGCTGGTGGTGTCAAACCAGTATCTGGGGGGGGCACCTGAGCCCTTGGGATCCCCCCCACCTCTGGATTGCAAAGCCGTGCTCGCTGCTGAGGGTCCTGCGTAGTGGTCTCCGGGAATAGGAAATTCCAGGGGCAGCTTCAGCTGTGGGCTCTCAGCGAGCAGGAGGGTTCAGCACAGGGACATCGCTGCAGCCTGGCTGCTGCTGAAAACTCTAATTCCCAGACATCTCCATCTGCATTAAATTTCCTCTAAAAACCCAGAAAAATACTTAGCTCTTTTACAAAGGTTTCTGACAGACAACCTCTGGCAGCTTTAGGCACTGTGATATATGGGGATATTGCAATTTGCTCTGACACCTACCAAATGTTTCTGCCACTGTCACAGGGATTGAAGCAGAGTTTGTGTCTCTGCCTCCTCTCTTGCTGTGCACAGTCTCGCGGTTTTACGCAAACTCATCCTGAGCAAGAGTCCAAGACTTTGGCTGTGAACTGAAGGAAAAGATGAGCGTCCGTTCCGCTGCCTCCAGGAGGACAGGGTGATGCCTTAAGGTGCCACAGAGGAATCTACCAGCCCTGGACCCTGTCAGCAGCAGGAAGCCATCACCCTTCAGCTCCACTCTCTGGTTGGTAACTGGTCATTGGAGATGAGGAAAGGAGAGCAGAGATGGCTGGATACGGCCATTACCAACGCCAGGGAGCTGGTGGGAGAGGTCAGCGCAGGACTGTAGTTTCCTCTGGGACAAGCCTGTGCTTCTGAAATACCTACACCCTCTCCGTTTCTTCCTCAGAAGTTTTGGTCTGTGTGTTGTAAATGGGATGGTGTTAGTGCCATCAGAACCTACCTCCTTTCGGAGGTGCCTCCTCCCAGCCGTGTGCTCCGAGTTACCCAGCTCCAGCCAGCTCTGACGCTTTCCAGACTGACACGGTGTGAATGGTCCAGAAACCTCCTTGTGGCTCAGTTTTGTTTTGAACAACGGAAACCGTAGGAGTAGATGCCAGTGGAAATTTGTGAAGCTCCGTCTTTGCCCATTGACAAACATGTGATTCTCCCCTCTCCTGGCCCCCCTCAGCCCTGCGCCGGGCACTGTCAGCT